CTTGTATCTTTTTTTCGGGGCTCCTCTCTTGCGGCAGCCAGTGGCAAGTTCACCATAAAGCAAGATCTTAGGGAGGCGGTGGTCCTTCATCCTGGAGACATGCCCTGCCCAGCGCAGCTGTGTTCTCAGCAACATGGCCTCAATACTTGTGATTGCTGCTTCTTCTAGAACAGATTTATTGGTCACATAATCTGACCAGTGGATGTTTAGGATTGTATGGAGGCAGCGTTGATGGAAGCGTTCTAGGAGACGCAGGTGGTGGCGGTAGATGACCCATGATTCGGAACCATATAAGAGAGTAGACAGCACTATGGCTCTGTAAACACTGATCTTGGTGCTTTTCTTCAAGTGTTTATTACGCCATACTCTTTTGTGGAGTTTTCCAAAAGCACTATATGCCTTTGCTAACCTGTTGTCTATCTCCCCGTCAATCTTACCATCCGAGGAGATGAGGCTGCCTAGGTAATTAAACTGCTGGACTGATTTGAGTTCTGATTGGCCAATGGTGATGTGGGGATGATGGGGGACTTCCTGAGGTGCAGGTTGATGGAGAACCTCTGTCTTCCCTTCAAAGTAGGTTTGAAAACCATTCCACAGATTCTGCAGATTCCTCTCCCGAAACAATTTGGCACCATATTATATACTTACTAGTAAACTAAAACACAATATGGTTATGTCATGGAAGTAAGAGTAATTACACTCATTTTTTTCACCTAGTTTGCTTGATAACCACAAGGTGAAACCATACTGAAGAATTCTGTGTAAATTTGTCACTGAAAGACCAGGGCATTTAGTGGAGCAAGTGGCCTGGAAGGATGTTTACCACTTCAGGAGATATGTGCTCAGCATTCCCGTAATCAGAACTCTCTACAGACTCAAAGCATGCTTCACTCTGCAATTATCTTTTCTCTTCCTTGAAATCGATATAATTTGGTGGTATCTTTCTGCCCCCACCCATGTATACTGCAAAGTCTCCCTTGTTCTGCTGTCATTTTAATAAGGTAATATGGAAACAACTTCATCCACAGCTCTAATTCCAGCTTACATATTGTAGCAGTTTGAGCTACATTAGAAATCTAAAATCCAACTTCCAAGCTTCCCCCACCCCTTCTCAACAATTTATCCTAACACCGGAGAGAAACTTTCAGGCCAGAGGCTTCTGTAGGGGAAGGGGGAAGTATATACATTTATTTACACAAATAAATACTATACAAACTAAAGGCAACTATATATATATATATATTACATTACTATCAGTCAGTCCTTTCAAGCCCCTCCTTTAACTTTAGTCCAGGCGCAGTCTTTAAGGCTGATATGTAACACAGTCTGCTGTGGGAGTGTTCTGGGCTCCTGAACACTCCCTCCTCACCAAGTTCAAGTTGTTTGTTGCATTTTCTCTCCTCATGAAGTCCAAGAAGATAGTTTTGAGTCCTTGCTCTCCTGCTGCTGGTGATTTCTCCCTCTCAATGTCCCACCTCGGTTCGTAAGCTGCTGCAGTGTAGCTTATCAAGCGTCTGCGTCCTGGAATGTTCATTCCTGCACATCAGTTCTCAGCTGCCTCTGGTCAGCTTCAGCAGGCAACTCCCGAGCTCTTGGTTCGTCTCCAATTTCGCCTGGGAATCTTCTCCCAAGCGCCAGGCCTACTTCCACGGCCTGTCTCTTGGCTCAGCTTAAATGTTGAGCCTCTCCTCCACTTACAGCGGAGAGAAAGGAAAAAGCCCCCCTCTACAGCTTCACTGAAGAAAAGGACGGGGGAGAGAGGGCTTGGCTGCAAAGCCTGCTTCTCTTCTCTTACCTCAGGTGCTGTGAATCTCTTCCTTCACAGCACATACTCCAAATGCTGCCTCCAACTCCGGCCCAAGCAGAGTTGGGGGGTCACAGGGCCCCATCTCCCCCCTGGAGGGGAGAGAAGGGAACCCAGCCACCCCCTGGCCTTGTCCACCTACACGCAGCAGACACCAACAGCAAAACAACCAAGACTGCACTGCCAACCATTTCCGGTGCTGTGATATATGATTTTGAGCAGAAGCGAACGACATGAGTGGTGACTGGCTCTCCAGGGAACACTGTCCTGGCACCCAATCACCTCTGAGCCCCTCGAACTCTCAAGGGGGGCCAATTTCAAACTATGACACATATATATGCATATATATTTTAATTATATTTGCTGTTAAGGCATCTTGACCACCACAATATATACAGAAACAAATACAACTCCTTGCTACATACCCAGAATATTTATTTCTAGCAATCTGCTAAGATATACCAGTGGAGATAAGTCCATCAGGTATCAACAGGAGGAAAAAAATAAAAAAAAGGACTGTGGGACACTCTTCCTAAATGAGCAGGCCAAAGAACTGATGCATACTCTGTGTACTGACCTCTGTCCTGCTGGACAGGGTAGTACTCCTCTTGAGCTAAGCTAGGGGCTCTGTGACAAGTTATGGAGCATTAGTACTTTAAGAAGTGGCCAGTGGCACACACGCAAGCTGTCTGCTGGTAGCAGTTACTCAGGATTGCAGCATAGGCACTCTCTACTTGTGTGCATGCATTGTTAAACTAACTGCTAAACTTGTCATCTCACCTCCTTTAAGATACAACACACTAGCCCCATCACTGCAGTCTTCCCATGAATTACAAGAGGAAGCTGTCCTGCTGTTGCTTCCAGAAAAAAAATGTTATCCATATACTTCTTTGCACCCTCTTATACCTGCTGGGTTGAAGGAAAACTGACTGGTTAGCACAACAAAAAGCCAACTCATGGGTTTAAACCCCATAATTGAGGAGTGATGAGTCTAAGAAATTCTGACAAGGTAGAAATCAGGTATAGCACCCAAGCAATAAATAAGGTTGAAATAAAAAAATCTAAATATCTATGCCTATAGCTAACACACTTAAAAACCTCCCACATGATATATCTGGCAAATGCTAACACAAACCAAGAGAAATACCTATGAGAAGACAACAATGTATACCCTGCTTTGGTTGCTATTGAATGCAAACAGAGTTCCATGAAGCTTCGAGACTGAACTTTGCCTGCTCCCTGTTTTCCTCCTTAAAAATAAATCACTCTGTCTGAACATTGGAATTCTGGTCTATTGTGAGCTGAGCTGAAATTATGTAGTGGATTCAGCACATACCGGAAAAGCAGAAAGCTCCTGCTATCTTTGTGAGCTAGTTAAAAAGTGAAAACAGATTAGAAAAATAAGTTCTTCAATAGGCAGCAACATTGCTTTCACACCAGATTTGATGAATAAGTCCTCCCAGCGGCACTAACACCTGATACACACATTGCATGGATTAGTAAGTTTTAGTCTGGGAAGAAGAAAAAACATTTTTTCCCCTTCCAGTAACTGCTGCAGGTATATTATCTAATGAAAACACAACAAGATTTCTCTAAGGAATGTGAAATTCGTTTGGTGTTTCCATCAAACAATTATATGTTGTTCATCCACTATCTGAGAAGCACTGAGGCATATCCAGACCTGATTACATTTATTCTTAGCTCCAGATCAGACTCCCCCACTAGGGCAGCAAGCAGTTTCTCATCTCTACCTTACCAGATCCTTGATGCAGGCATTAACAAAAGAGGGGTTTCTAATAACAATACAGCCACATTTACTTAATATCTTGATCATCCTAAATCAGAATGTCTTTGATCATTAATGGAGCCTTTTGGAGTGTTGTGAATTAAAGGATAAATTTTCAAAGGCATGTAAGAGAGATTTACTGACTGACTTCTATTCAGACCAGTGGGAGGTAAACAGCTCAATCCCTGTTATGAAATGTACCCTTTCAAATACCATATTTTCAAAAGGCATCATATTTTTCAATAACTAAGAAACTTTTAAGAACAACAGCATCATTTCCACTGATGCATCTGTCAGTTAATGCTACTTCTAGGAAAACATCAGGTGTTCAGAAAACAGAAGAGCCCAGAGATTTTCACAGGAGAAAAATACGGAGTGCTCCTAGGAATTGTGCCCCTTGAGCATGCATTCTTCGGCACCGCTGAGAATGCCAGACTCTTCCCCTTTACATACAGAACAGGACACAGGGCTAAGTGAAAAGTGGTCCTGCAACAACAAACAGCACTTTTGCATACCAGTGTTCCCTGGAGGTTCTAACTCTTAGAGATTACTACCAGAAGATACATGAAAAATATCAGCTCAGCCCAAAAAACGCTCAGAGGATCACGAAGGTGAAAAAGGATGAGAGTCATATCATGAGAAAGATGCCAAAGGGCACCCGACGGACACCACAAAGCTTAGCATCCAATGGATTCATTGCAAACATGGAGGGAAACAGAATCTTTCCCAACTGTCTGCAAATTTTGTTCATATGTGCCAAATGCACAATGTAGTTCTTAGTTATGAGAAACATGGTAGTTTATGTAAATGCATAAGGGAAATCAAAATCTCAGTTGCTTTTTGAAAATGTAATAAACTACACTACACATAGATAACCTATCTTCTCCCTGATGATTTTTATCATGAATAATGTAATCTCACAAACTAAACATCAGAAGGTGTAAACAAGTTGTTGGAACAGATTCTTGAGAGGAATTCTTCACATTACAGCAGTTTTCTATTCTGCAAGGAATTTTTACAATTTATCTCTTAGTGACAGAGAAGGATATATGGAATTCCCTCTCTCATATCTTTTATTAAATACATATTTCTTATTTAATTAAAAGATTTTATAAGATTACTTTTGATTCATTTGGTCAAATGGCAAAGACTAATTAGAACAACCAAGGTTTGGAAGCCCATTAGAAAATAATCATTCTCAGCAATTAAAGTAATAAACATGAACTGAATATTAAGATGTCATTTCCTCAAGGTCAAAAGACGTAGTTCAAGAGGTTCCCAATCTCTAATTTAAAAAAGAAAAACAATCAAAATCAGGGAAAAAACCCCAAAAACCAAGCAAACAAAAAACCCAAAACTATAAACCAAGAAAACAAACCAGAACTAATAGGTATCTAAGAAAGTACTTACTACAATGTCTTCAGGAAAAGTATCCACACTGAAAGAGCCATCATCAAACATTATTTCATAGAAAAGCTGAGATGTCACTCCCACCACTCTGCAGCTATAGTATCGTGTATTTCTATGTTTTGTGATGACTGTCTGTCCAACTCTAATGGTCTTCTCAGATGCTTTAGCTCTCTTGAAGAAAGAAAGAATTTAAAAGAGAAGGTAAATTTACCAGGGTCAAAATAGGATTGATAACAGTTCACCACTCAGCATAAAAACTGCAAATGCAAATCAGTTTCATTCAATCAAGATCACCCCAATTTCTTTCACATAAAAAGTTTCTCCATTTTGTTAGAAAACAAGTGACATCTGAAGAATACCAAATCACAGCATATTTTTGCCACTGACGCCTTCTAACTTTTCTGAATTAGATCAATAATACAAAATTAGCAATATTTGTAAAATTTATTTATAGAATAATTTGTAGAAATTTTTTGAAGACATAAGATGTGATGAACCTAGAGTATGGTCTTGAATTTTTGTTTTAAATTATGGGATTTTGAAGTACTGGATCCCAGTATGATTCTACATAATAGCTTAATAGTTTGCCAAATGGAACGCAATAACTAAATGCATATCCTGCTCTTGTCAGAGCTTTCTACAGCCGTGTTTTGGAGAAACTTCTTAACCCATACTATGCAGAACTTTTGCTTTAAAACTTCAAACGGCACTGACCACCCTTCATCATGTATTTACATAGTATCTCAGTAATAATATTTTTTTTTATTTCTCAATTGTAATTCCCCCTGGGGCTAGTTATATCAATCTGAAGACTGGCAGGGTTGTTAAACTATGCAAAAATTCTACATCAATAACTGCTTGATGGATTCTATAAATGTAAAAAGAACAGAACCTTGTAAGTGAGCAATTGCTCAACAAGCTCGCATTATGCAGACAACTGTTACATCTCAGCTTCCAACTATTGTATCCCCACAACCTGTCAACTTTAAAAGCAACCTTCTTCACCAGGAAAAATAAAATCATTATCTTCTCATCTTAATAACATATACTTCTTCCTTTTGATCTTGATTGTCTATTCAATATGTCACAAACGTTCATTTGTTTATGCAGAAGTGAGCTATTGTGAGTTTGGTTATACCTGAACAATTGAGCTTTTCTGCTAATGTAAGATGCTACTACAAAGGGCATATGCACTGGTATATATAAGCATAAAACACTTCTTATTAGATATGTTTTTATAAACTGCATGAAAATGCTTTATACACTATATACATTAAAGTAATTACCAAATTTCCTAGCACTGCCTTTCAAACCTTCAAAAGCAGTGCATTCTTCAGTTAGTATAAGAGTTTTGAAATTGTCTTATGAAAATCTGGAAAATGCTACTAGCTATAGGATTTTTATCACTAATATCGAAGAGAACCAAAACCAGCATCGCTTCTTTTTGTAAAACTTCAAGTATTAGCAATATGGTGAATGCTTCAGGGGAAGAGAAAAAACACACCCTAAACTTGAAGACTTCCATTTTTGCAATGACTGTCGTCACTGGACTTATTTATGGGATTTAGAATTTTTAAACCTCTCCGCTCCTGCAAACTAAGGGCATACCAAGTACAAATATTCTGTACCATTTCTACAGGCAGTGCACTAAATCTCTGTGCCAGAGCTCTGCCTGTCATACGCGTTTGGAGGATTTAGTTGAGATCACCTCAGATAGTAAAACCCAATGATGTTCCTAAAGCATTTACCAAGTTTACCTACAAATAATGTTCTGAGTATACTCAGAAATTATTTAACCTTTGCACGTATAATAAAATTATTTCCTCCTCATTTTACCAGTCTACAGTCAGATTAAGTAGAAGGATTAACTACATAAATAGCAATTGACTGGTATTATTAAAAGTGTGATAAAATATCAATTAGCATGTTTTATTCAATCTTGAAACATATGTAAACATACATGTACATTTACCTTTCAATTCTTGACTTCAGCCTACTCAGCTGTTGGGGGCAGGGGAATGGATCAGATGTAAACTAAAGACTATTAATTGATTTATCTATATGAAATAATAGAAGAAGTATTATATTACAGAAACACAAGGAGATATAGTTCTATTAAAAGGCTTAAATCTTCTCTGAAAGAAGATACATAAACTCTTCAGAGAAGATGGAGGGCAAACTATAATATTTTAAGAGACAATATAGATTCCTTTAATGATAAAATATTCAGAGAAGGAATGCCATTTCTCATTAAAAAAATAGTAAAACCAAGAAATGCATTCTAGCTCAAGGAGAAGATTATTTCTTAGTATGTTATCTTGGTAGGATTGTAGATTTATTTCTCAGAGAAAAATATTCACAAGCGCTCTCTGTAATTGATTGCATGTCCCAGAAAACATTTCCTGACAGAAAATCTTAAGAATTTATTGATGTTAAGAATGTCACTTTTGATTAGAAAGGACAGCTGTTATGTAAAGGAGTCTATCAGATTAAAGAAACAGCTGTGGTGGTAACCAGATTATTGAGAAAGCTGTGGTTTAAAAAGTATGATTTTCTTTAATGGTATGAAAGCCAAGGATGAACTAAGATAGTGGCAGAAATACAGAAAACAACCAGATACAAAGAAAAAAGCTAATCTCCCCTTCTGTGTGCAAACTTCAAAACAATAAGAGGCAAAATTACTTTCTCCTTCATTTTCTGCATGGCAGTACACAAAACCCTTGTTAAATACATAAACTATGTATATATGAATTCATAATAACTATCATGAAATAGGTATCTAATGTATATCTAAATACCTAGAAACTTTTTCGGGAGAGGATCCTCAAAGGTCTGAGACTTACTTGATACAGGAGCATAACTCTCGTATCATCATTTACTCCTTGGAACTCCAACTTAGGCACAGAAACTATGCGTGATATTTCAAAAATACGCCAGCTCGTGATTTTTGAATGACATGCCCTTCTGAAGGCACCCCTTCATCTCTCTGAAATGTTCAGGGGCTGGCAGTAGTTAGCAGACAGTGGTAAACAATGCATTACTCAGGTTTTCACTAGGAAAAGAATCTACAGCTTCCCCTTGACAGCACCCCTTCATTCCATGTGTGCTAGAGAGGTTAAGAGCTGGCCAATAATAGTAGAAGATAATTTTAAATAGCTCCAAAAGTAGCAACAGCAGGGTTTTGGCACCCCCTGTTTTGCCCTTTCTAAAGACTGTTAGTCTTTCAACATAACTGGGGCTGCCTAGATAGCTTCTTCTGTTCACAATTTCCAAATGAAACATCAGCTCCAAGCATACGCTTGTCTCCAGCCAGCTTTCCCTGATCCTCAGTACTGTCTTTGCTAATCTTATATGAATCCTTCAGGAGGCTGAGTGGCTTTGAAAAGGTATTTTTGGTTTGTTTTTTTTCCCTGTTAGAATAGTTGCATACAACTTCTTTTGCTTATTTTCTTGTGTATGAAAGAGTTCTTTTAATCAAAACGAATCCATGCTTTTAAGCAAGGAAGCTAAAACAACAGCAAAAAAAAAAGTTCATTGCTATACCTAATGGTGAAGAGCAATGTAATTTCTGCTTGAAGGAATAGTTAATAGCTAAGAAAAGCATAACAAGAAAATCAATGGTGAAAAAACTTCCAAAGGCTTAAACATGTGATTAGATTAATTATTCAAAAGACAGAGTATAAAACCAAGCATGTAAAAACATATGGCAACCTCCTTTGTCTCAGGAGTAAGTTAAGAATTTTACAGAAAAAGATTCTTTAACAAAGCATTTGATCTTTCCAAGTTTTGGCCCACTTAAAAACACAAAAGCACAATTTTTCTTTCTCTTCTGCAAACCTGATTTTAATTTGAACTATGGGGGAAAAAAGATAATAATACCATATTTTTTTCAAAAATGTTGGTGCTAAGTTTCAGGAAAGGATATAGTAGTCCCATTCCAAGCTACTTTGAATGTCCTTCACACAAGCTCTTAAACAGTAGCTACATAAAATCCTGTTTCCCCATAGTTGGTGGCTTTTTTTTCTTTGGCACTACTTAATACAGGTCAAGTAAATCACTAAGAAAACATGTAATTAATGGGACTGATGCAACTCCCACTATCTTGAGTATAAAGACTTGTCCCAAACAAATATTAGAAAACATTTTGGAAGAACAGCCCTATTTTTACTGGCCATGATTTTAATCCAGTAATTTTGAACTAATGATAATGTTTTTAAAAAACTCAAGGAAATACCTTAAGTTGCCTGTACAGATAGAGGTTTAAGTTTGTTTGTTTGTTTTTCAAACCAAACTCATTTTCTTGAAAAATGTTTGAAGAAACTAAAACCATATCAAGTGTACTGGTTTAACATGTTCATTCATTCTGGAAAACAAAAATATTCAAAAAATTTAACAGTTCCACAGAAATTTTATATAGGCATACACAATACATCTCCCTTTCGAAGAACAATCTGCAGATTGAACACTCAAGACTGATTACTCTAGTTGGGAGGCATTAAATTTTACTACACTCAAAACACAATCTTACTCTTCAGTAGTCTTGTCATTAAGACCAAGGATTCACTGACAAGCACTAGAAACACCAATATATATTATATAGACATTACCTGGGTTTATGTCTTTCAATTCTAATGCATAAAGGAGAAAAAAAATTTGCAACCTGACTAACTTATCAAGCTCTTTCCTTAATAAGACCATGTTAAACCTTCTAGTTTGATAGGAAATAAAATATAGTTTTAAAAGCCCATGATAAACGGTAAGAGTTCTCTCTTAACTGAGATAGTAACCATTTAAATAAAAGGCATGAAAGTAATTCTTCATGTGTCTCATCTAAAATTAAAGGTTCCTCCTCAGCACAGGATAGAAATAAAAAGGCAGTCATAACATGAATTTTCATAGCATGCCAGTGTTACTTTGCCAGATGACAGAATAATTATAATCGGGTATTTTCAAAAGACTGTTTGGCTGCAGAACAAAGATCTTACATATACACCATATCCATTATCTCACTGAATCTGTGAGTATTTGCAAGATATTATGATCTGAGTATTATAATACACTTCAGGTTAACAAAACAAGACAACTCAGGGATTTGTTCTGGCTGTCAAAACAATATATTCAAAAAGGACTTTAGTGCAAACCTGTTAGGCATATCAGGTATCACTTCTCCCAGGTAACAGCATAAGAAAAAATTTTTAAGATGTAATAGATTGCTATGTATGGAAATATGACAGCCAGAACTATTATAATACATACTGTGGATCCTTTCTTCCTTTTTCTCTGGAAACATTACTTTAATTCTGAAATTCCATTTTTTAACAAATAATGAAACACATTCCTCACCACATTGTGGTTGATCTTGTGCCTGAAACATGTCATGTAGACAACAAATGGCCAGTCATCAGGTTCCATCAGCACTCCTGCAGCATGGGCGCAGGTAACATGGAAGGATGTTGTGCAGTGTCCATATGAACACTGAATGCAGGCACCAGAGATTTTCTTAACTCTCTGTCTGCAGAAGATACATTTCTGTAGAAGCAAAATAAACAGAATATTTACTGTACTACTCCAACTCCATTCACTTCTGCAAGTAACTCAAGGACTAAAAAGTTATTTGTGATTTACTGACTACATTTTATACCTTGCAGTATGCCCAGCAAAACAACAAGCATTTATGAATTACAAGGTAACTTAGCAATATGATAATTAATACATAGCACTTTTGCCTTTTTGCATAAATTTGAAGTGTTCCAGTGCTATAGAGATAAAACTGATAGACAGCTATTTAAAATTTTAAATTCCATACTTTGAAAATTAACCTACTCCTCCTAAAATAGGTATAACGAAAAACCTGCATATGATTCTGCAAAAAACAACAGAAAGACTCAAAAATAAAGAGAAGAGAAATGTAGGGCTAAAGAGGACTTCCATGTATCATTTAACTTAGCCCCCTAGTTTGAAGCTGGACTAAATATATATATGTAGACAGTCTTTGGGAGATGGCTAATCTAACGTGTTCAGGAAAGAGTTTCTACAACATCCTAAGATAGCCTGTTATGGTGGACAGACCTCCTCTAAGCTAGAGATGTTGCCTTTATCTCAAGCCTTTGCAGAATTCCACAGCTGAAGGCTGCTCTTACACCCCTTCTTATTTTTTAGTCCAGTTTTCATTGGTTGTGTATTGAATATAATGTTGACACAGTACGCTGTATTCCCCCATGTCAGAAATCAAAGTTTTATGTCAACAGCTTCACCGGTATCAAGACTGACTTTTTTTCCTTTTCCCAAGTGACAAAAGTAAGGAGCTGATAGGAAAAAAAGATGAAGGGACATAAACTAGATTAACTCAGTCTGGGAAATAAGCTCCAACATGCTAAAAAAGACAATATAAGATGAACAGTATCTTGCCACCAAAAGACATTACCAGTAGATAGAGTAATTACTTCAGTAACTCCTATGGAGAACTGTTTTACATCACATATGGGAACTATCTTTTAAAACTCTCATTATGATAACAAATGCAAATACTATTGATGATCATAAAATTATCTCAAATATTATAAATACAAACATTTTATGTAATGACAAAAAACAATTAATTTAATAAAACATAGTGCTGGAACAGTGATTACTTCCATTTGTTCTAAATTTGCTAGCCACTGATTTTTGTTAAATACCCTCTTGTCTGCCTATGTCAGGAACACTAGTAAGAATAATTTTAATTTATTTTTACTGCATGGTTAATAATCCAAAGTATTTACTATTAACTCACATCCAATTGTTTTTCACAGGTTACTGGAGAATTTTGTTCTCTACTGTTTATTGATTTTCATATCCTGAATAAAACCTGCAAAAATTTTGTTATATAAATCAGCATTTACATAGTTCCAATGGCTTCTGGCACTCAGTTTGTGACTCAAATAATGCTTTTTGCAAGGGCTAGCCCTGTCAAGCTCTTGCAGGGTTCTAGTTCCCATATCATTCTGAATGTGAAATACTCTACAGGTTTTGCCTTCCCTCTGAAAGCAAACTGCCTGTGTGGCTTCGCAAAAGCAGAACTTAAGAGTAGCATCTAGCATCTGGAACTTAGTGAAAAATTTTATTTATCATTCACTAAAAGGACCAGAACTCAGCTCAGTCTACTGTAGGACCATCAGGCCTGAAAGACTAGTAAGATGTAAAGATGATTTTGCCATCAAAAGAAATGTTTCAGAGACTTCACTGATATGCTTCCATCTCATTGTGCATTTGTACTCATCTGCAAGAGGTCATTTCCAGATAAGTAGAGCAACTGGTTCTCAAGGAAGCTTAAGGATGTTTTTTTTATAAATACACGTTCAGAACCAACTAAACAGAAATTCCAGAAAGAAAATACAATTGAAATCTAATTTGTATCATGTCTAGACAATGAGTTCATGTAAATACACAACTCCTTTTTAAATGCTTTTTCACACGGATATATACATAAACTCACCGATCAGTGTAGTGGAAGAAAAAAGACTGAAATACTTATGAGTATTAAAAAAGCCAAACCAAACCAAACCAAACCAAAAACCCAACCAACCAAAAAAAAAAAAAAAACCAACCAAAAAAAGCCTACCAAATAAGAAACCTCAGGTGTGTTCTCATTAAAACACTCCAAAAATGTAGTTCAAACAAAATGTAGAGAATGGGGAAAAGAAATAAAGTAAAAAAACAGCTAAACTAGCGCTAACTGAAGAAATTGTAATGTTATATAAGGAAATGCTGATTCCCTTAAATTACTGGCTACACTTGCACAATACAGTGAATATGCAAACATTACAATGTGGTTGTAAGTTTCCTCTGCATGTTACTAAAGTATCATAAAAACCTGAGAGACGCAGAAATCTAAAACAATACATTACATGAGTAATGTTTCAGAAAAAAATATGTACTTACAACTAGATATATGCACAATTGTTCTCCTATATTAATATTTTAAGGTTTCTACTCTTATATAAAAGGAATACTGGTTGGTCATACGTAAATGTGTGAATGCAGACTTCAGGTCACATGACAAAAGTGAAGAAACTCCTGTGTTTTAACCATGCGATAAATCCATCTCACTGCCAAGTACGAGGAAGGTAACTGTTACATCAGTTAACTCCAAACACACATTAAATCTTTTGTGCTACACTCGTACACTCTTCAGGTATCTAAAAGATTAAGATCATGGATGTGAATGAGGGAAAAAGTTTCTGTACGTGCAGAAAAAGAAAAAACACCCTATTTCTCCCTAAGCTTAGGAAACACCAGAAAAACTATGAAAACCTTTCTTCTTTCAGAATGCACGAAAAGAATCAAGGTAGGCAAATAATGAAATATGTTTCCTATTTTCTGTAAGATGCTGTGTCCTTTATACAAGTATGACACCAAGAGGGATGACACAGATGTACCTCAGCCTTCCAAATGTGTCTCAAACTTCTGAATGAATTTTGAAAAGTACATGTGAAAGACAGGTGTACCAGCAAACTACAGCTTGCATAACTATATCAGGCAGCATGGCCTCATTCAGACATATGAGAAAAAGCTCCTTCCTGTTTGAAACTATACATCAAATAGTTAATCTATTACATTTTATTAATAAAATCAGAACCTACAGAATAAAAGCAGAGTAAACTATACATTTTTGGAACATTAGCTGAGCTACATACCAAGCTCTATATTAGCCATAAGAAGTAAATTGAACTGTGCTGTGTCTGATCCATAGTGGCAACACTTCCTCTCTTCAGCTTCTGAGAAATAATGTATTTCTCATACTCTCACCTGGGGCTTTACAACATATGAATTTAAATTATTTTTTCAACTTTCCCCCTCCCATGGTAATATTATTTATTATAGAATGGGGATACACGGAAAAAAAAAAGCAGGAGGGGGAAGAATGACATAAATGTAACAAAAAAACCCCAACAAAACCAAACCAACCAAACAACCAAAAATCAAACCCACAAAATGAACAAACCTGACATACCATGAACACATTTTCTGAAATACAATAATGCTAATTCAATGCCCAACTGACAGTTTTCCATTAGCTTGAAACAACAGCTGTTCCTATCAGCTAAAGCAAATTCAACATTCTAGATGGCTAGGAAGAATGTCATTTTGACAAAATGATTGCTAGATATTAGTGCAAAGCAGAGACCAAGGGGAAGGTAGCTAAGGATCAATCTTAATCAGAGACCCAGATGCAAAATGAATTGGAGAATAAATAAAACTGTTTATATAACTGGAGATTAAGAATATAGGACAGAACAATGTACTGCAATTTTCTAGATTGTGAAATGACCTCTTTTTGCCCCCCCCCCCCAAAATATTCTGCTGCAAATGGATTTCGTAATCATGGAATAGCTCTTTAATATTAATAGTTTGCAAATCTATAAACAGAATGGATTTTAAAGAACCAGTCTGAGGAAAACGAATGCCAGTATTTTACAGAAGAAAGCCCAGTGATAGCTTTCATAATAATTTTTATGCATCCTTATTTAAAGAATTTAATATTGCTTCCCTCCAAAAGAGTGATATTTACAAATAAAATTCAAGTCCCTAAAAGGATGATGAATCAATCACAGTAGCAGTGCTTTTTGATGTAAGGATTTATGAAAATAAGCACAAGCTGAGGTTGCAGCAATATGCCAGGGCTAGATTTTGGTAAACAATCTAGAGTACTGATTTCCCCCAAAATTATTTCTATGCCTTGGCACTTCTGCTTATGTGAAGAAGTTCACTGTAGTAAAGCATTAAATTCTACAAAAAGTAGCTCTTTCAAGAGAATCTCTAAAATTATTAAATTTCCAAATATTACTAAAAATCATCTCATAAGAGTTCTGCTGCTGGTGCTGCAGATGGTTATTAACTACTAGTCAGTAACCGATTTGTATATTCTCATCCTCATTTATATATTTGTCATTTTTTTGCTTTATAGGTATTGTTGGAAATAAACACTAAGAGATACCATTGTAAAGATTAGGAAATTAATGACAAATCATTGGTAATTTTTTTTCTGTAAGATCTCCTTTAGCATCTCTGCATTTCATAATGAACCTGCTTAACTTCAGAATTTATATTACCAGACAAGCAATATTGCTGTTATGTGTGATTACACTATAGATATGAAATGTCAGTCCTACTGTAACCAATAGTAAAATACCCATAACTTTTAACAGAGCAAAGATTTTACAGAGAATATTGACAGAAGGAGCTTCACCAGCTTATCAACTGTTATAACCTGAGACATCCAGTATAAATCGCACAGAGAATCTAATCTTTTCCTTCTCCATTCCAAAGCCATAACATGGATTAGAAGTGAGAAAAGATTACAGTCCAGTTGTACTGCAAGAGTGGGTAGCAAGGTACTGGCACAAAGATCCATTAACGATGCACAGTGCAATCAGAAGATGTACATACTATGAAGACATTTGACACATTATCTGCAGATCAGTGAGCGCTTGTTGTCTGCACATTCTTTCAGAATACAAAGTCAGCACTTAATTTTGGCAGAGCACATA